TAATCTTAAAAGGTACATATAACTCGGAATTCATATAACAGTGGTATTTGCCGTTGGTAGGTTTCATACCCGTGAGAGTTCATGCATGAGAAACGGGCATCTTACACCTCCGGGCCATCACGACTATTGAAATATGCCTGTTAAAATATGAACGTAGGAACATCTTTTGTAAGCTGCATCATAGCTTATCACCAGGCTAGATATTGGCCAAACATCGACCCATCAAATTTCAAAATCATAATTTTAATTATAATGTTGAAAAATCTCCTTATGGTATAACTTCGAGCGTACAAAAAGCCATCAGACCACCACAGATGGGGCCTAATAGGGCCGATGCCGATTCGGAGTCGCGGAGAACCTAACGGATTACTGGGGCTCCGGCTCGACGTCCACGAGAAGGAACGGTGTGGTTTTTAGTCAATAAGAGTCTGACACTCCCTCCCGCCTCACCCAGGCGGGAGAAGTCATTCGATTATGTTCCCCCCTTAAAAAAATGGTATAACTTCGAGCATACAAATAATCAGACCACTACCGTACAGTTGGGGCTCAATAGGGCTGATGACGGGTTAGGGAGCCTTCGGGTTGAAGTGTAGAATAGGAACGGGGTGGTCTTTTGTCAGTAAGAGTTTGACATTCCCTCCCGCTTCACTTAGTTGGTAGAAGTCGTTTGATGATATTCCACCGTTAAAAAAAAATGTTATCTTCCGTTTCGAATCTGAACCCCAGCTGTCATGTTCAATCGTAATAGTTATGTTTGTTATGTTACAGTTACTTACTTTTTGACAATAATGACATAATGTCTCTATCGTTTCCGAGAAATATTCGAGTGAAAGGCTCCAAAATAAGACTAAAAAATATAAAAATCAAGAGAAAGTGTATCAGCTTGTTGAAGAGAAATGGTTTTCTGGCTTTTTTGTTTATTTACCTTCATTTACTTGTTTCGAGTTGTTTTTTGTTTATTACATACTTTAGTGTGAACAGACCATAGCATCATCTTGTAAAACTGATTATTGTGGTGATAGATTCTATAGATAATTTATTCCTATTAATTATTATGTTTTCGATATAGTCACGTAATTATTTGACGGGAATCTCGACAACACAACAACAAGACAACTCGAGTAAGCCGAATCACATAATAATTAATTTAACTAGTACGTCTCAAATCTCGAAAGTTACTTATAATATAAATATATCTTGTTCATCGACAATATTTACAACTTATCACAGCTACTCCTAAACTTTTTTTAGGAGGGAAAGTCATTGAATGACTGCTCCCGCCGGGGTGAGGCAGGAGGGAATGTCAGTCTCTTACTGACTAAAAACCACCCCGTTCCTACTCCTGCACTTCGAGCCGGAGCTCCGGTAACCTTTTACGTTCACCGCGGCTCCGTATTGGGCCCCATCTGTGGTGGTCTAATGTCTATTTGAGCTCGCTCGAGATTTGGAGTTTTCCATAATCTTTACACTTAGCCGGATTGGAGTGGAGATCATCATGTTTGGCGGTTCAGGTTCATCAAGAAGAGTTGCAACCCGGTATTTCTTAAGTGTGTAGTCCCTTAACTCTTTGAGTACCGTCATTATAAATACAAATAGAGAACTATAGGTTGCGGTCACCGGTGTCCTCGCGGTATATGACAGTTTAAATAGGTGCAAAGACACTAACAAACAAGAGAAATAGGACGAACAGGAGATGCTAATAAAAATTTCTTCTGTTGTTACTACGAAATAAAATACCTATACTATTTTTACTTAGGTACTATTAAAATTACTAAAAACAATATTATAAGGACTTTACCTTCGACCTAGTTCTTAAGAAATCTTTACTAAACTACTCATTTTCAAAACTTACGCCCAAACAAATTCGCACAACTAATGAACATGCATTTGTTATACAAACCGATTTGAGCCTCATTCCAGCGGTAACCCAAACCAGGGATGATGAACAATTGGCACACGAGCCAACAAAATATTTCTGGCCCGTCTCTGATCACTGAATTTTACCTTGCCTTAGTTTCAGAAATAAATAACATTAAACACACAATTAATACGTTGATATATCGTACCGAAGATTAGTTCATATAAAAGTAATTTCTAAGCATTGGAAGTAAAGTCTATAATGGAGTTAGTGGAGAGCGGTTGCCAGTGACCGCATGGAGATTGAATACTGCAGATAACTTCAGTTCAGCACACGTTCTGTTATATCTCTCATCATCAGCCAAAAGATGTCCAGTGCTGGATAAAGACTCTCCCTTATTCCTTTACATTGTACGACAGTCAAAAAACGAAATCTATATCTAATATTCTAATAGAAAAATCGGTCTGACTGGAAGAAAATGACTGCGGCATTAAGTCCACCTTATGTACACTTTGTGCTTGTGCATGAAGCAAATAAAAAAAATCTTACGAAAAGTTTATTTGAATCTATAATCATATAAAAAGTTATATATAATTTATTTGATGACATTATAGATAAAAGACTTCAACAATATTCCTTTAAAAAAAAGTATATGTTACCATGTTACCTAAAAAGGTTTGCCGTCCCTACCTTAAACCATCAATCCATTTGTAAACCTCTACACATCGATCCTTCACCGACCAATCCAGCCAGAATAGGCCATTACAAACGTGACTACGTTCCAAGTCAAATGCTACCACCTCGTGACTGGAAACCCAATGGATTTTATGGTCTGACATCAAGGAATTATTGGTTTGTTTCTTCTAGAGAATGTGTATGAGAAAAATGTTGGCACTGATTTCTTTGTGATTGAATATTTAACCTCTTGAGTCGGTTTATGAGATACAGAAATTACATTGTGTCTAGCGTTGATCCATGTTCCGGCACACTATGAGTTAATAGTAGGTATTTATTTATTTTGGCCACATCGTCTCAGCACTTACGGACTGGAAAATCGATTTCGACGCAAAATATTGCGGGTTCACCTTCTACACGGAGCATTTCTTTGTATCATCCGCAATTTGTTGCACAATGTGTATACGTAATCATGAACTTAGTAAGAAGCTACAATTTTATAATAAAGACTATTTTTGCAGTTAAAAAATCACGAAAAAGAAAAGAATACAACAAAAAAAGAATCATTAAAATCCGTCCACAAACGTCGGAGTAATCGGGTAACAAACACACAAAAAAAAGAGAAAAAACACACAACCGAATTGATAACCTCCTCCTTTTAGGGAAGTCGGTTAAAAATTTTATACCTATCCACAAGTGCCTCTAAAAATAGATCACAAAAATGTTTATCAGAAACGAGCTCAAAATCACCAGACTAGACTTGTTATTCCACCTAAAATGACCTTAAAGTATTTTTAGGCACAAATTCCAAAAACAAACGCCAATTTTGCCGAACATTGAATTACGTTACAAATAACCTATCAGGTTTAACGTCAATCACTTTGTTGGCTAGATATTATTCAGTCAATCATATTTAGGTACAGACAAAAACCTTCGAAACTAGGCTTGGTTACTTACAAAAGTAAATGTAGGATGAAACACATTAATGTATAGATAAAGTCAATTTTTGTTTAATATTTTAGGCAACAGCTATAATTAGAATTTTGTCAGCAAATACATTCGTCCCACGGCAAAACAACTTACCATAAAAAGTGATTTCGATGTATAAAGTAAAAACAAAAACCAACAATATATATTTTTTTAGTTTATAAAAAATGTTCATGAAAATAAGCACATGAAATAGTAGACGTAAATTTTACAACATCTGGTGCTGTGAGTATCCATTATCGCCTACAATTATGTGATCTGATTACTCATTCGCTATTTCATAATTCGGATAAGTCCTCTATTAAACAAAGGTCAACATCTATCGCCTTTAAAAATGGACAAGGTACATTTTTGTTTGTTTTTTTGTACTATTCGCATTCGCAGTTGCCACCCGACGAGAAATATCTCTTTGAGAACATGACGCGATGTTTTGATAATGTACTATATGAGTTCGTATGCGCTTTCGAAATTTGTTATGCAATGGTTCAACAGTTACTTTTTGTTTTAAACATTTCATTTCTTTGTAAAACTATTATATTACTAAGACAAAACCATTTGACTTCGGGACGAAATCGAAATAGATTGCACGGTGTATAACGAAATAGTCACCTAAAGAAATGTTTGTTGAAAGAACTTATACTTCTTGTGATCTAAAAGATTTGCTTTATCAATAGTTTTACAGACATCAAGCAGATTAGAGACGAAATGAAAATTTAATTTTTTTTTTCATTAAAAAGAAACTCTAAGTAGTCATACAATAACTAAAGCGACACATACTAAATTAACTAAAATCGCGGGTTGCTCACGTGAATATACTGAGAAAAGCTCTACTAGTGAAAAGAAAAAAAAGAGAAAAGCTCATGAGGAATAACCCCTCTGCAGTTCGAAACTGGAAGAGCTTTTCTCAGTATACTCACGTTTAGTTTAGTTAACTAAGTATTTCATCAATATTATAACAAAATAATTATATCAATGGAGATAAAGTAGATTTAATGGCCACGCCAATCGCCCATTGGCAGTAAGCACCGAAAATGAAATGCTAACTTCTTTATCAACTTTACTTTCATTCTCACATAACATAACATCATGCCTTTTATCCTCGTAGGGGTAGGCAGAGGCGCACATTATGCCACTGTACAATGTAACACCCACTTTTTACCGTTTATGTTATGGGGCCCATGTGATAGGGGTTGAGCCTATTGCCATATACCGGGCACAATTTCAGAGTCCGTGCTACTGCTGAGAATTTTTAAAAAACACAGTAGTACTGTAACCGACCCGGCAATCGAAACCGAGACCCCTTGCTCGGCAGTCGTACTTGCGACCACTCGGCCAACGAGGCAGTCAGAGATTCATGCTCACTCGACACAATAAAACGATATTAAAAAAAAACAATTCATCAAATAAATAAAAACACAAAATCTTTAAAAAACCAACAATAATTTAATAAATTAATAAACAAATAAATTATGTATGGACATTAATAAATTAAATAAATATATAGCTACACTAAGACTTTTGTTCGTATTGTCTCCAACCTCGGTAGGGTAGGGGGGTGATCTCTCTTCTCCTTCGGTGGTGTCCATGATGACCAGCGTAGATGACCTGGTGGTCCTCTCCTCCGTCATGAGACGCCAGTTTCTTTACTCCTACTATGGCTGCTAGCATGAGAGCGAGTGCTGATGCGGCTAAGGCCTGGAAAGAAGATTTATTTAAATTAAAATCGTGATGATAACATAACATAACATAACATCGCGCCTTTTATCCCCGAAACGATAGGCAGAGGTGTACATTATGCCACTGTACAATGTAACACCCACTTTTCACTATTTATGTTATGAGTCCCATGTAATATGGGGCAAGCCTATTGCCATATACCAGGCACAATTCCAGACTCCGTGCTACTACTGTGAATTTTTTGAAAAACCCAGTAATACTTTACCCGACCCGGGAATCGAACCCGAGTCCCCTTGCCCGGCAGTCGCACTTGCGATCACTCGGCCAATGAGGCAGTCAAATAAGAGTCAAATGATATAGAGTGATAATAATGATACTATTGTAAATTAACTAAAAATCGCGGGTTACTCACGTGAATATACTGAGATATACTGAGTGGGCTGCGCGACATCACCGCGATCGCGCACGCTGCTCAAGAACCCTCTGGTTCGGCACTAGTAGAGCTTTTCTCAGTATATTCAGTATAGTAATCCGCGATTTCTTCGGTTTACGGAATTCTGAGTAGTTGTATGTTTTACTTAAGATCATATTGAAATATAGGGCAGCACACAGCAATAACTCTCAAAAGATGTCATGTTTAGTCTAATCATAAGTAATCAATGGTTCCCATTCTTTTACAAACACAAATATGGTTGTCATATTTACATGTATAAGTACCACTCGTATTCTGATTCTCAATCTGATCTAACCGACGTACAATCCAACTTGAAAGACTAAAAGAAATATCATCCAAACATTCTCAACTTTAATAGCCCATCAACACTAATCACAAATAATATAAAATCCACAATTCACATATTTATATTGACGTGTGTCTCAAATTGTAACAAAAATACAATTATTGTGAAGTGATTTTAATTGGGAAAAGTGTGTAATTACGGATAAGCGGGCCAGGGCGCTCAGCGTGACGGGGAAAAATCGACGGTCCGTGTTCTAGATACTGCACGTTCTTGCGGTGACGTGAATGAGTGGTTAACAGAGAGTTAAGGTGCTAATGTCTTTGTAATTTGAAGTAATAATGTCATTTTTTGTGTCGTTTATATGGGATTGGGTGATCGTATATAGTTTATCTGTGTTTTCCTTGGTACCCTCAACACCAGAGAATTTAATGAAAACCTCAATTTCGGTCATTTCAAGATCAAAGTCAAAGAATTTATTTTAATTAAACTGTCAAACACCAAGCGGCCACCGGTGACCGCAACCTATTGTTCTATAATTTTGTCTATAATGACGGTACTCGACGAGTTTATTCTTAAATAGGTACTGTTGAAACGTTAAAATTGAATTGTCCGTCAGTGAAGCTATGTACTCGTTGTAATGAAACTCCGTCGTCATCATTCGAGTTCATGATGGGCAAACTATTAATGAAGTGAGTCATCAATCAATCAATACATAGTATAAAACAAAGTCGCTTTCGCTGTATGTCCGTATGTATGCTTAGATCTTTAAAACTACGCAACGGATTTTGATGCGGTTTTTTTTAATAGATAGAGTGATTCTTAAGGAAGGTTTGTATGTATAATACATGCATATTGCACCCGTGCGAAGCCGGGGCGGGTCGCTAGTTATATTATATTTGTTTGTTTTTTGTGAGTATAAGTGAGTTTTCTACACTCCGTGTTATTACTGAGTTATTCAAGATTTTGCCTGACTTGTGACTTAAACAATACTGTACCATCGCATTAATATGATTGTGTATTGTGATTGTGTAACTATGCTACCAGAAATTGTAATTTTTCCCTTGAGCAATGTTAACTTGATGTTAAACGCAGCAACTTAGACAATGTATTCAATTAACACAATAATTTTACATGTACCGGGACTCTCCATAATTATATAAGAACATATTTGTTACCTACATTTTTGGCAATTAAATTATTTCTGATTTCTTATTTGACTAATATATGAGTCTCTGGAGTTCATAATCTTGGCCCTGCTGATATATTGGCAAAGTGAGCGCATTATAGCCCAAGAACTTTTACTTTAAATAACGTTTCTGAAGACTGATAGACATAGACTCTTAATTTTACGATTTATAAGGATTTCGGTGACGATATTGCTCAATTAATTATAATCTTCGTGTTTAGAGATTTAATGCACGCAACTGTACTAGAATTAACGTGTGTTTTGGATGAGAGTCATAAAACTGTTTAATCTTAGATATTAAACTTTCCTTTGATGAATCTTCTAGATACTGCACTATATATCTATAAGGTATAATTATACTGAAATGTGTCTTTAAAATTATAATCTTGCTTGTAAATTAATTATCAATCTAATCATTTTACGCTCAATAAAATAAATTAAATACTTTCGACGATAGGTATATTAATTTGAAATATCGTATAACTTCACAATGTGCTACATTTTGTACCACATTGTGACGTAACGACCTCCCACTCCTAAACTTAACTCCATTTTACCTAAATATTGTAACTTTATTCGAGAAAATAAAGAAGTACGTGTCTAATATTATTCCATTGTCCACCTATCGGACTAATTTGATTTTTAATATTCCTACCTTGGCAACTATCCTATTCTTGTTTTGAAATCTTAACAGTCGATATCGTTGTACCCATACAAGGGTATATGCCTAAACCTGAAGTAAATCGGTGAACCATACACTGATCACAGCACCTACCAAATAGACTCCGTATAAATACTGAGAATTGCAGAAACCAATTCGGTTCCTCCAACAGTCACAAGTCACAAACAACAGACTTGAGAATCAATGCAATCTAATATAGGTACAGATCGAGACCAACAGCTTCAAATAACACATACTATTAAAGATTTCTCCGTATAGACACCTTTCCGAAACAGATACAATCTCCAACCAATTTCAAACCTAGATCACAAACAGATAAAGTACAAAATCAATTCAAGAATGACACCTTCGTATGCTGCTGTACAAATTACTTCGTAGAATGTTCCCTTTATACGACAAACGTACCTTCATAGTAAGTAGACCTAACCCTCCAATGCCCATAGCTCCAAGCGCCTTGGCAAACATGAGTCCTAGAAGTGCCACACCACCGCCGCCGCCACCCTTGCCTCTTCCAGTTACTGTAACACAGGAAAATTGTTTTTAGACATACTAAAGTGTGGGAAAGCCATGATTCGACACGAATAGGTTGGTTCGACCGGAGTGATACCACGGCTTCATAGAAAACCGACGTAAAACAACGCTTGCGTGGTTTTACGTCTTTGAATGAGGTTACTGGAGGCCTAATTACCCGCCTCCCCAATTTCCCTAATCCCCAAAAATCTCGAATTCATAACATAACATCACGCCTTTTATTCCCGAAGGGGTAGGCAGAGATGCACACAGAAGTAACACCCACTTTTCACTGTTTATGTTATGAGTCCCATGTAATAGGGGGTTAGCCTATTGCCATATACTGGGTACAATTCCACTACTGTGATTTTTTTGAAAAACCCTGTAATACCCGGGTATCGAACCTGAGACCCCTTGCCCGGCACTCGCACTTGCGACCACTCGGCCAATGAGGCAGTCATAAAAATCCTAAGGTTAAAATCACTTTTGTAAAAGTTGTAGTTCAATATAAGACGAATCCAATCTATTTCCATACAATGCTTAACTTCATTCAACTGTCAAAAACTTATTATAACTAGAAAACTTTAAGACCACGTAATATGTGCTAAGTTTCCCAAATTTTCGACACTAGATCGAATTATGGACATTTTACTTGTCAATTTCTATTATATTTAGGTAAGGAGAAGGAAAATCTGTAGGCAATTAATGTAACAAAGTTATTAGATACAAAAATTCAGCATTTTCATCTTGTAAGACAGAGTTAATATTTTAAGTAACTTAAAAAACTTCAAGACCATTTTCATCAGATATTTTAAGAGACCTTTTTTGACGGAACGCAAACATCCAAGGACTTCATTCACCTTGAGTGCGGCGAGACGGACTGTCAGATTCAGTAATACTAAAAGCCACGCCGTTACTATTCCTACTTCCGGCCGCAACCCCAGTTGTCCGAAGCTCTGATGAGCCCCGTAATGTGATAAAAATAACATCAGTAAATAATGATAATATAGCAGTAATAAAAATGAACTAAAAAGCCTTTTATTTCTTGCAAAATTACTTACAAAAGAATTAAAATTATTGAAGGTTTTGACTGCCAATAGAAAACTGTTAAAGGCAAATCTTCCGCTACCGTCGCTCATGGCGCTCATGGCGGTTATGAATGTGTGTGTTAAGAATGGTTCTTTAAACATGTCTTTACCATTCACGGGACCACAGGGTCCCGGTCATTTGGAAGACGTACGACGGGCCGAAGTCAACTGCGCAGAGGCCCTTTAGACAACTTTAATCTAAATGTAATGGAGACACAAACCGGCGACTATCCCAGTATGCACTATGGAAATGCAGCCAAGGTCAGTCCCCGGTTAGTGTAGAACTATTGTGGATAACGGAAGAAAAAAGTTAGGGCTATGGATGGGTTGTTGTGGACCGGTAAATTGGAAACTATGGATGACTCTGGCACGTACCGAAATAATGTAATTATTACACGTAAAAATGGCAGGCGGAGACTCGCCAACTCACCGATCGGGCCCCGGGAATGATCGCTAGATATAGGCAACAGAGGGGCAATGAGAATGTGAGTGGCTGAAGGGTTAAGAAACTATCACCGCTTTCTATTTATGTTCTCATTCATTATTATTATTAAAACAACCACAGTACAGTAAAAATATTACTATTTGGAGTTTTTATTATAACCAATTATAACAATAATTCTTAAGTCGACCCCAAATTTAACCTTAGACCTTATTTAACAATCAAACATATGACTGGCCAGTAACAAATGAACAATTAACTACAAACAAAACATTTGACATTAAACAATTAGAAGTTCAAACTAACTACATACTGAAACGTTAACTCGCTTAATAAATAACGACGGTATCTGAACTTCAGTACACGACTGAAGATTTTCAAACAAAATTTCAACTAAACCGTACGAGTATTTTGTGGCAACCTTCATACTTGAAGCCCTGAAGTTTTCGGCTTCAGCTTTCTTCATTAATAATTTCACTCCGTTGTAAAGCGAAGGTTGCAATTAATTGTCGAAATTGTTACATGAAATTCAGGCGGACTCCATCTTTATAAGGGTTTTGTTAAAATTTTAGCTATAGATTGAATATCGGCTCGATGCTCGAGTAAGTAAAAGGTGTTGGGTTTGATGAGTGCTTTTAATTAAATTTCCATTTTGCAGTTAAGTAAACTCCGTATTCTATTATGCCTTCAACTTAGATTTCAGTCAAAGTGTTTCACTTTATTGATTTTTTTATTTATGCGTCGTAAATAAACAAAATCTGGTGAGTCACACATAAATTGCGCTTTAAAATGATAATTTTCATCACTAAACGTCAAAAATGTCCAAGAAAATGAAACTAATGTTATGTCAACAACTTCAATATAACTTTTTCCGAGTTATACGTACTTTCTAAGATTACCTAGACACCACTATCAAACGGTGAAGGAAAACATCGTCAGGAAACCTGGGCTTATAATTTCTAATTATAAGTTTGTAATCGCCAACCCGCATTAAGCAAGCGTGGTGATTAATTCTCAAACCTTCTCCATGTGAGAAGAGGTTTTTCTCAGCAGTGGGCATTTATAGGCTGTTGATGATACCTAATGATGATGAATTTGTATATGAAAACACTGATGCTTGAATATACTCATAACATAACTAGCAGATAGTACTATCATGTTTAAATATCTCTAACAATATTGGCAGATTGGCATGTCATCTTAACTGTTGTAGGCTTTTAGTAAAGGTTATAATTGTACGGTCTAGTCCGGTGATACTTGGGTCGGAAATGTATCCTTCAGCTGTAGCCAAATGCCATTTAGCGCTTGTCTAAATGTAGAGTAGAAAACCAAATTATATGGAATTGTCATCCACATATATTTTGATTTCTACTCTCTCAGTTAGTCAAGCGCTAAAGTGGCGTTTGGCTAAAAGCACTCTAGAATATATACACTGTACACTATCATTGGGCAATAGGTTTTAACCCCCATTGCATAAAAACATTGATGAGAAGTGGGTGTTACATTGAAAATTTTCAGACTTTCATCTCTATTATACTTCTTCCGAGCTTAAAAAGTCGCTTTATCTATATCTATACTGTCGCGGAGAACCTAACGGGTAACCGGGGCTCCGGCTCAACGTGCAGGAGAAGGAACGGGGTGGTTTTTAGTCAGTAAGAGTCTGACACTCCCTCCCGCCTCACCCAGGCGGGAGCAGTCATTCGATGATTTTCCTCCCTTAAAAAAAAATCTATATCTATACTAATATTATAAAGAGGAAAGATTTGTTCCTAATTTTGTATGTTTGTAATGAATAGGCTCAGAAAGTACTGGACCAATTTAAAAAATTCTTTCACCAATAGAATGCTACATTCTTCCAATTTGACATAGGCTACATTTCATTTGAAAAAACTTAGGGATCCTTGGTAAAATTTGAACAATGTAACCGAAGGTGTAGAAAAATGAGTCTTAAAATGTCTTTCGTCGAATGCGCTGCCGACACTATTAGCAATAGAACACAATAATGTACAACAATATTGAAGAACATCATAATGTCTACAAAAAACTCCGCGGTAGCATAAATGTCCAACTATTGTAGTTATGTCACTACAACAATCCAAATTTCCAAAAATAAATAATTGTCTACCCCGTGCGAAGCCGGGAGGGGCTGCTAGTACTATATACTACAACTTACATAACAGCAAAGATAATGCGTCTAAATAATATTTCCCTTCGTATATATAAACGCAGAATCAGTTTAGTGGTGCCGTAGCTGACTGAACGTTGATGGAAAGCGGAAATTGTCTGCCGACGGAAATTGGATCAGCCATACTTTGACAAAATTATGAAGAAAAAAGACGTCCCTGATTGTTGATGTTGTCACTTTATCGCTTAAAAGCCTAGGGTATGTTTTTAAATGTTGGTAAGTTTTTTATTTAAATAAATGTTGAGTTGTATACTTGTTCGATATTTTACATTCATCATATTGTAAGTTGTGATTTTTAAAGTATTTAGGACGCACTTTATATAAAATACTATAATAATAAAACTAAACCAACTATTCATCAACACCCTGTTTTCGTCCACTGCTGGACATGGCTGCTGCCTCTCCAATGGCACGCCACTGAGCTCGATTTTCAGCTCTACACATCCAACCACTACCAGCCTCTTTTCGGATATCGTCACTCCGCCTAGCTGGAGGGCGCCCACGTAGTGTACCTACTACATCGTCATCGGTTCTTCGACAGATGCCAACGGCCCACTGCCATTTCACCTTGCTAATCTTTTGGGCTACGTCGTTAACTTGACTTCTCTATTGGAGCACCTCGTTACGAATCCTATCCTTAAAGTATTAAACTAAACTAATTTGTAATGTAATTTGGTTCTCCATCTCCCACTATTTTATCTCAATATTACTATTTTCAAACTTACTGATAAGTAAGTCTCAAAGTCAAAATCATTTATTTCAATTAGACCCTAGGCACTTTTGAATATCAGCAATAGAAAATTTAAAGTGAAGCTATTTGCTCATTCCAAGTTATAAATTCCTATGGAGAAGAACGAGCAAGAAACTCCATAGGTTACTCTTTTCCAATCAGGTTCACAATACAATTCTCCAGTTACACAGTTTTATTGGTTCGATTGTGCGAGAACAATGTAACACCCAATCTCACGATAGTTGTTACAGAAAAACACTATGCCTAATCTTAAAGCAAATTGACACCGCACCTAATAACCTAAACAATTTCATGGTTTTTATAAATTAAGCTGAAATTAGTTTCTAGTAAAACTAGCTGACTCACCATTTTAAGCACAGTACTGCTGTATTTAAAATAGATATTACAAATTCAGTTAACATACAATAATGCTAACGACTTTGTACGCGCAATCCCGTTTTTTACCGTTCCCGTAGGATTTTCGGGAAATCCTTTACCCGTCTCCTGGTTCTAAGCTATCTCCCCACAAATTAATAGCTAATACAGTTCAGCCGTTCTTGATTTATAGAATAGAATAGAACATTTTTATTGTACGCCACTATATAGTAGATACTTACAGAGAAAATAAATAACAAACATAAATAAAAAAGTAATAATAGGCATAATGGCCTTATCACTTATAGTCATTTCTACCAGACAACCTTTAGGTGGATATAATGCAAAAGAAATAATTACCTCTATAGTGCAATTAGCACGACTTTCTTTCACACAAGTTTATGGAATTGATATTTAAATGTATCATGTAAACATAATTATGACTGATACTAATCAGTTCTTACGACCATTACACTAACAATAATGGTCACATAACAGCACCTTAACGTAAATATTATGACGTCATTAAGGTGTTTCCAAGGCCTTGAAACTACATCAAAATTTGTATCATAAGTTTAACTCCTATGTACTACAGAAGCTTAACACAAGTTATGCGAAATTCCTATCTAATTTTATGTAAATAGAGGTGTTATGTCATATTTAGATTGAGTCCTTAAGGGATTATCTAAAACCTGACTCGGTTGCTTAAGTTATGTTTAGTATTTCATTACTTTATGTGATTCTATAACAACATAACAGGATTTCAGGTGTTATGAATCGCGTAGTGCATCAGAAGTTTAACTGAAGCTCATATTCAAATCAAATATCTTCATTGCTGAATTACATTTAGATGCATTTCAAGATGTTAGATGAATGCGCAGTTCATCATGTTCCACCAATCAAGGCATGCAACTATTATTCGTAAATTACAATTGACGAGTTCCAGATTACAGCAATTTTATGAATTATCAGTTCAGTCAACATTTTACAAGTTATTACTAAAGCACAATAACACATTTAAAAAATGAATAAAAAAATTTTGATAAATTATTTATTGAATAATGAATATTCGATTGTTTTAATCCACTCCTAACAACTAGATATTCAGGGATAACTCGACTGAGTTAGCCTAATTGCTGCTACTACTGCATCTCAACCAATCAGTGATGAAAGTGTAATCAAACATAAATATTTTAACACTGTGTCTCTAGCTAGATACTTCTAAAATAAATTGCTATGGCAGCTTCCGTCAACAAAATAAATTGTTGAAGTTATTTTAATAGAAAATTGGTAATCTTAAAACGTGTCGGTTTTATTGACGAAATTTCAAACGAACACAGAATCTTAGAGTTATCTTAGAATTATAGATTGAAAAGTTGTATAATGCCAACAAGAATTGATGAACAGAAGGCAAATAATATTATCCGTTTAATTTCTACTCACGAATTAAATTACATTTTGTAAAAATTCTTATGAAGAAGGTAACACTCATTTTGTACTACATAATCACATAATAGGGTGGTAGACAATTTTTGTTTAATGTCCGTCTGGTAGATTATTTTCAAACATTAGACACGTATTTTTTCTTTTCTACAATATTAAATACTTTCGACGATATATTGATTTGACGTCACAATTTACTACATTTTATAGGGTAGCATGACGTAACGACCTCCCACTACTAAACTTAACTCCGTTTTATATAAGGATCGTTTTCTTATACGACAAAATAAAAAATATGTGTCTAATATTTTATCAATATCTAACTGACGGATTATTTACATTTTTAATTTTCATACACTGTCTACTACCCCATTATAACACTAATCACTTAGCAAAAAATACACACAGAACTCACCAGAATTCTCCTTGTAGCTCTCATCGACGACCTTGAGCGTATCAGCAACGAACTGAGTAACACGATCCTTCTCAATCAAATTCGGGAGCTTCACGTGCAACTCGTGTCCTTGCAGGAATTTTGCCATCCGCAACAGAGCAGAGTTCTCCCCGAAAGATCTCCCCTCATCTTCAATAGAGTTTGACACAGGGATCCTAGCCAACCGCACTCCATCAGCCAAATCTATATCACCATCCAATAAAGAAGCTATGGTGATGCCGCATAGTGCCAGAAAAACCGTCACCTCTCGATACATTGTCGTTGATGGTGATTCGCGCAATAAGCAAGAAAGGGAGACCAAGTCACTTATATAGTTGGGTAAAAAAAATAAGAAGTTCGAAGCGAACGATTTCTTTGGAGCTATCACTGTGAGTGGTAAAAAAGTGCGGCGATTCTGCAATCTGTTGTAAGAAAGTTTTAGTTATGTTTGTTTGTTTGTTTTGTGGTGGAAGTATGTGTTAGTAGATCAACTGTTACTGTAAAGAGGTGCGAACATTATTAATGTTCCGTGTTGAATTTTACTCTTGTTTTCGAAAACCATTGCACAAAGCGACATGTATCAAATCTAGCACTGACGAATTATCCCGTTTGTCAAATTACCTTTTTATGGTGATTCTGGAAACGAACACGAGTGAAGTTGTAATATTGTATGTGTATATATGAAGTTACACAGTCTGTTTGTTTGAAAGATTATACTTATTACAATGTCTCTCGCAGTGTTAAATTGCTTGGCACTTGACAATTTTCCAGTGACGAGATGATTGTTTTTACTTCAGTTTAAAGTGAGATGTCACTGTTTTATTTGTCATTATTATTATATTAGAATGTTTGTATAATGATACTATTTTAATGATTTCTTTTTTTGTTTAATTTCTTAAATGGACTAGTGTGTTTTTACCCGATTTATTTAGCTTGAAGTTTAAGTACCTATTGTTGCAAAGTAGCAGGTTATTATGAATGCGTGTATTACAATTATTGTGTTATTGGTCGAGTGCTACTGTAGACTAAAATGTTGTTTGTGGATTCGATTTTATTGGCGCCCTTACCAAGTCGTGCATTATTATTACTAGATTAAGTTTTCACTATTTAAGACTGCCTCCTTGGCCAAATGTTCGCAAGTCCGTCTGCCGGGCAAGGGGTCTCGGGTTCGATTTCCGGGTCCGGCAAAGTATTACTGGGCTTTTAAAAAAGCACGGAGTCTGGAACTGAGCCCGGTATAGGGCAATAGGCTCACCCCATGTTATGGGACTCATAACATAATTAGTGAAGAGTGAGTATTACATTGTAGTGGCATTTAGTGCCGTTATGGGCACCTCTGCCTACCCCTCCGGGAATAAAAGGCGTGATGTTACGTTATGTTAAGTTTTCACGTAATCTGTGGGTGGCTTTAAAATGATTTCAGAATTACACTTTTCTAAAAAGCGAGACATTGAAACGACATTGTCAAATAAAAATAAAGCAATAGTTTAACACTCCATAACGATGACTTACTGGCACTAGAATTGGCAACTAATCATACTTATTTCTAATGTAAAAACTTAGAAATTAATAAGATTGGTAATAAATCAAAATTTCGTATTTGTGTGTTTTTTAAATGAACATCATTCCACCTACATATTACAATTATGATTTAGAACAGATTATAACTTAGAATCTTATCATAAAAACATAATTGCTTAGATATATTTTAAGTTTAACGAGAGAAAGGTAGTAATTTAATGAATTATAAAATAAATAATCTTAGCAGAGCAGATATTTTTATCTGTACAAAGATTATTAAATTAATTTTTAATCTGTTTTTGTTATGAAATATTTGCGTGTTATATCGACAAAATAGAATAGGCTCTCTCAAGAAATTTTTGATATTGTATCACTGTCGCTTCTGGTATTTTTAATTCTATGTAATAAATGTCGAACTAACATTGCATTTTCTTTAGCGTCGACCATTTTCTTCCATTTTTTTTAGTTGGTGAGAGTATTCGTTGATGAAGGGCTATTGAGGAATGCTTTCTTTGAAGGTCCTACGTTTTGTGTGTTATTTTAGTTACTGAAAGTAAAACTGTATAATATCAAATTGGTGATTGTGTCTAAGTACGGTTCTTTATTATCCGGTTGCATGCTTACGACGTTGAACTGTTTAGTCATAGACTTTTTATAAGGTTTTTTATTTCAATAGAACAACTGCATCATTGGCCGATTGGGCGCTAGTGCGACCCGGCAAGGGGTCTCGGGTTCAATCCCGGATCGGGCACAGTATTATAGGGTCTTTTTGAATTCTTAGTAGTAGCACGGAGCCTGGTACTGTGCGCGGTATATGCCAATAGGCTCACCCCCTATTACATGGGACTCATAATCATAACATACATTGAAAAAAGTGGGTGTTACATTGTACAGTGGCATTGAGTGCCGTAATGTGCGCCTCTGCCTACCTCTTCGGGGATAAAAGGCGTGATGTTATGTTATATATGTAGTTTCAGCTTGTATTTGCGACCACTCGGCCAACGACGCAGCTGGAACTAATAAAAAAAATACATGTTGCGCTCTGTAGTTTTGTCATAGGTACTCTTAGTACCAAGTAAGTAAGGCCAACGTTGATAATATGTCAGTTGTTTAATATTATGAATATGTCTCACATAGCAACTATTCCAATGTCTATGACCTCAAAGTGTAAATATGGGGATAAAATCGAATTACATATAGAACAGTAGACAAAACAAATATAATTCGGCACCTGTCGTCAAATTCTCATAGAATGTTATTATACATTGTTTGTTCTTAAACAATAACCTTTGTTTATATTTGTTTGATATTGTTTGCCTAAGCTCTCAGGCTGTGTAAACATGAAACATTTTGAAACATATTTTCATTTTAGTATAGAATCTCTTTCCATTTGACACCTTTATTGTTTTTGTTTCGGGATATTTCAGTTGCTATAGTAAAACGTAAAACCGGCTTTCTTTCAGAAGATTCGATTGATGTGTGAAGTGTTGTGGTGGCCTGGAGGTTTAACACGCTCGCTTCTCTCATGCATGAGCGTACCGGTTCGAAAAATACTAACGACTTAGTACCAATGTGATTTTTTCTGAGTTATATTTACCTTCTATGATTATTTGAGCACCACTGACAAACGGTAAAGAAAAATATCGAGAGGAAACCTAGGCTTATAATTTCTAATTATAAGTTTGAAATCGCCAACCCGCATTGAGTAAGCGTGGTGATTAATGCTCAAATCTTCTCCGTGTGAGAAGAGGATTTGGCCAGTTATAGGCTGTTAAATCCACCATTAACGATGTACCACGCATTAGAGATCCAATATATACACTATGAATTTAAACCCTCAAAGAGGTTTTTATATATTTCCATTCAAGTCGGTTTATTGTATAATTTCGTAGCGTGTTCAATGTAAACAAACGATTAATCGAGACTTTTTATTATAAGTGTAGATAATTCGCCGGATGCTAGGCAAATATTGAAGGACAATTTTATACCACGCTACATATTGCGTGAGATGTTTTTTATTAATTCAAGGCTGTGGGTAAGTCCAAGGAATATGTTCTATTTATTACTCATTTGGAACTCAAAAAATGCGGTTGTCAGAAACGTGTTTGTTACACTTTCAAGCAGGTTTTAGTAATCAACCGACTTTTAACAAAGAGGGGTTTATAGTTGGTCTTTTTAAAAGTAGTTTATACAATATTGTTTTTATTTTAAAAAATCACCTCGGTACGAGTGGACAAAAATACATCATATTCATCATCATCAGCCTGTATTCGTCCACTGCTGGACATAGGCCTCTCCTATGGCACGCCACTGAGCTCGGTCTTCAGCTCTTCTCATCCAACCTCTGCCAGCCACCTTGCAGATGTCGTCACTCCACCTAGCTGGAGGGCGCCCTACACTGCGTTTGCCCAGACGCGGTCTCCACTCTAGAACACGTTTACCCCAACGGTTATCGGTTCTTCGACAAATGTGACCGGCCCACTGCCACTTCAGCTTACTGATCCTTTGGGCTATGTCGATAACTTTGGTTCTCTGTCGGACATCATATTACTCATTAATATTTTTATTTATTTTTTTCATTAAGGCATGTATAGATGTACATTTATCTATACATCTACCTATACAGATAAATAAAAATGCAATGTGTGTTTGTAATTTTAAAATAACCGCTTTTTGCTACGCGCTTATCAATATACAGATGATACACATAGCAAAATAACACTTCTTACAATTTTCGTCTGTCTGTATGTCTGATTGTCCGAAGTACTAGCTAACCTCTGAAAGGCGGGATTCCGGATTCCGGATCCGATTTTGCAGGACTTTTATTGGCAGGCAGCTTATGTACCAAGGAGTAACATATAATGTTAAGTACTTTTATTTTGGATAATTGAAACAAAAAAGAAGTTATGTTCTAATATTCATATTCTGCGCGGACGAAGTCGCAGGCAACAGCTAGTCAATAATATAAACACAAACATTACTATGATTGTTATAAACCACAACAAGACTAATTTATTCACTATAAATAAATAGATAATAAACTCATCATCTGGACCGTCTACTTATTCAATTTCATTTGAACTACCCTCTGGGCGATGGTTTAGGATTAGTCAACGTTACTCAAAGTTTTCAAAGATTATAATTGTTGTCTTAATTTGGTACAACCATAATGTCACTTCTGCTGATTCCCTGAAGTAGTAAATGTTCTAATGACACAAAGTCTTATGTTACAAGTACCATTAGTACTAAAGGACACGACATAAAGTGCAATTTCCAGAAACCACACACTTAATGAGTTTGTAAATTAATTATGAAAATTTTATTCACAAATATTTATTAAAAATACTCCACAAATTACATTTTTAAATACTACTTACAAAATAAAAAATAAAATTATAAATATAATAAATAGGAGCCGACCAGTAGCGGGAGCATGGTCCAAGCTACCGGTGGTTAGGGCTCCAGAGACAGAAACCTCCTCACGATATGTGCCGTTTATAGGAGAACTGCCTTCTGTATCAGGCCCTTGATCCATCCACCTAACGCCAGCCTCCTGAGATGGATGTTGAGGCTTTTATGGATTAACCCATCGACACGACTATCGGCACTATGATAGTTGAATCCCCATTCCACACATCGACAACCTCAAGAGCTAAGTCTAGTTATGTTATTTGATATTTTTTTATTAACATAATAATACGAATTTTGACTAAACACATCATGTTCAGCAGTTATGCTTGCAACCAACCAATGGCACGGG